ACGTCACGTGCAGGGCGTTACGTGTCACCTTGGCGACCGCGTCACGCTCCAGTCGAGTCCATGGCGTCACACGGGCGGCCGACAATGCAATCGGGGTGGACAGCAATGTAGGCCTCCGAGCCTGGACCAAAAAATTGTATACCACTTAGCTACGATCGTCTGCCGACGCATGCTCAAAGGAATTCCCCTGCACATGCCGCGGATTAGCAAACAACACTGGAGAGCTGCCGGGAATCGGATCCTATTTGTCACTGGTTCTTTCTAATCGGCTGCCTTATCGACAGCAGGTCCTCTCGGGGACTGTGCACATTTACCAGTTTCATACCGTACACGGCTGACTATAGTCTTATGCTCGAAGAAATGCAATGAATAGGCTGCAAAGATCACCATATTTCGGCAGATATGTGCATTATATTTCCTCAGATGAGTTTTAAAATCAAATTTGCATGAGAGGTGAATTTCAATGCTCACCTGAATAGGATATGTTTGTCGAAACATAGTGATCTTACAGCTTTTGCATTGTATTTCTCTCAAATTGAGACTCCAGTCAACAGCGTCCGGTATAATAATGATAGGCTATGCTGGTCATAGTTTACCAGGTAACGTGAAATTCCAGGCTTCAGTGCAAAAGCAGAGCTGCATCAAGTGTGATATTAGATTACCGGTTGAATGATAGCCTAACGGAGACACAAAATCCGAAATGATAAAAACATGCATATCCTAATTTGAGATGCATTCGCTACATGCATTTTGATCTCTCTTTGATCTCCTATCCCTCAAATCACTTTACATTTAAGGGCTCGGTCCCACTTTGACGAATGACTGCAGAATCCGATGTAAATTCTGTAGTCGTCAGCTGTTGCGAGCTAGAGGTGTCACTAGCGACGCCACCACGCGGGCCCGCAAACCGCGGGAAGAAATGCCGCAAAAAGTGACACCCATCTTGTCCGTAGCACCTGACACCCACAGAAAGTGAGGCGGACTGTGCAGACTTCAGTTAGTGCAGATTTTGTAGACGTACAACTGTTGGGCTCCTTTTACCCGCGCTCTTTGGACCTGTGGGCCTTAATGTGTCACCTCTTGTCAGCAATAGCAGACGACTGCTTAATCTACAGCGGATTCCGCAGCCAGTTTACAAGGAGTGAACAGGCCGTAAAATGTATCAAGCACGGGAAACTGATCGCTCTGCTGATTTGTGGCGGACAGGTTTTGTGGGGGGGGGGGGGGAGGGAGGGGTGGCAGGTCACTCTAATATATTGCTGGTAGGATGTCTGCCGTCCTGAAGAAAGCACCACGAAGACTTACAACACAACTAGGTTTATCTGAAATATTGCGTGATAGGGAACAGTCATGCAGTTGATCGACAACTCTGAATATCCAGCTATTTTCTCTAGCACTTAGGCTATAATGCTAGCAGCAAGTTGAGCCCAGTATTCCTGTATCGTTAGGAGTGGAGTACATCCTTTTGACCACCAGCAGATGATCCATCGGAAAGGTATTGACAAGGACTGGAGTACCTGCCTCCAAGCATGCTTAAATGATTATTTCCAGTGTGCAAGTCCTCAGCACGACTTTCAAATTACTTCGGAAATTATTTCGGAATTAGCACGACCTCGCTTCACCGTACATGGTAAATGCTTATAATTTTACCATAATAAAGTTCCACAACTAAGAGCTGTAGCAATTCGACACGGCTATTTATTGTTTTACTTTAGTTTTTCAAGACTAACACTGATAAATCTTGCTTGTCATTCCTGGACATATACTTGTACATGACCTCTACGTACTGTTTCACCTAAAGCAAGAACGTATCAGAAATATACCAATATCTCTTGCTTTAGTACCTGTTTTTAAAGCAACAATTGTTGAAGTTTTTTATTTCATTTATTTGACGACCGAGAAGTAGGGCTCATATCAAGAAAACTTCATGTTCTCAGAAGGGCTGAAATACAGTTTTCATGGTCAAAGATATCAAACTCTTTCAGTACAGGACGACCTCCTCATGGCTCTTCAGAAAGCGTTTAAAAATGATGTTAACACCCGGACCTCGAAAGTAAGGACATATTTGAACAGGGCTACGCTGGAAAACATCGCTTGACTAGATTTCATTAAGTTATTCATTTACTTCATTTACTTATATACTTCATTTGCATTTTTGCATTTATTCATATGATCCCCTTTATGTCCTACATAATATGCATACCCATGCCTTTTGTGAAGACAAATTGGGGCACCCCTAGTCCTAAGGTGGTTTGTAGTTGAAACCATCAAGTGTCATGTTCACAAAGAAGCAATGTTACGTATGCTGAAAAGCGAACAGCCTTACAAATTCATAAGTGTCACGGACCGAACATAACTAAACATTGCCGAACCGCAAACAGGCAGTTCAATAATAACCTCCTCCATTGCATCCACAGAAGTGCCAGCAGTGCTTGAACGATGACTGACTTCGCTTGATTGCTTACTGTAGCGAGGCTTCGGATCTTGCTGAGAAGACATTTCCAAAGCTGGATTCACTTCATACTCGAAATCAATTTCCCGTGAGTGTTGCAGCAATGTCATCAAATCCCAGGAGCCGCAGTGCTTCAAGCCTGAGAGCAAGTAAAACGCGATCCGGTGCGCCACAAATAACTTCACGCTAAACGCTCTGTCCGTGAACAGCTGATTACACGTTGATACTGACTAGCAAATATGACCTCGTTTATAAGCCTCGTAAACGTCATTGTTGGAAGGCACCGAGACACAAACACCAGAATCTTTTGCAGTTCGGAGTGCAAGTAGTTTAGGCGTCTTAGCGTGCTGGTGCGATGACAACGTGTTTTAACTTCAACCAGGTTAAGGAATACTCCCGTTTAACCTGATCTAAACATGACTCCTGGGTTATTCATTATTGCCTTGCGCCGCTCGCCCATAATTACGTCATAACAGCCGAATTCACATGAATGTGGCTGAAAGAACTGATTTTACATGAATGTATATGCATTAAATATATCATAAAGCTGGGTCAGATTACAGTTAGGTGCGTTTAGCTTTTATCCTTTACGTATCAATCGTGCCAGCCTTACTTAAGCTTAACTGTCAGCCTTACTTACAAAATGCTGTCATTTTTCATGCCAAGGGGTTTTCACGCAGTCGTTTCACGTGGACAATGCAAAAGAAAAAAAAACTACATCAATGCTTTGCATCGATTTGTCTAAATTTCGTACACAGTCTTGTCTATGCCGAGGCCGACCTACGTGCGCCGCAATTGTCCTTCGATGCTGTGGCATGGTGCGCCATTGTCTTGGTGGCTAAACGAACCGCGGGTGACGCCACAAGACTTGGCATGCGTTCAGCGGACATTGATTTTTCTAGTGGCATAGTCCGCAGAATTCTCAGTTCCAGACGACTGGTTTGGTGGTGAGGTGTTTTGGATTTGGCGGGCATTGGCATGCGCTTCAACTCCAATGCATGGCCCTTCTTTCCACTCAATTTAAGCAGGATCTGTCAGGTGACGTTTGTTGTTTGAGCATGACCTGAGCACATGAACCTAACAGCTTTGCCAGGCATTGTGTTCACGTGATATGTATGATAATTTATGAACGGTATTTAACCTCACCTACCACTACTTCTTGATGAGCTCGGAATGGCCTTTGCCTTTTGCGAACGGTGGAGATTTCAGCCACTAAGAATGCAATTTGCAAAGCTTTATTAAGGGCAGTGGTGGTACAGTGCTTAAGTCATACTGTTGTTGATGTGACGTCATGCTATTGGTGAAGTCATTAACGTGCCATGACGGAGTTATTCATGAAATAGCGTGCCTGATTCTGGAAAATCTAAACATCACGTGTGTTCCTTCTTTATCAGCTATCTTGAAAAACTTCTCTTTTCATGGGCAGTCATTGCATATAACTGATAAATGATTGATTGTGCATCTGAGTTACAAAGACACAATTTGGAATAATTTATGTTTTAAAGGCCCGCCATTGCCTGCTACTTCGTCAGAAATACCCACCAAACGCTGTGTGAGCTCAAAAGTGGTGGGCCTACCTAGCATAGATGTGCGAAGACTCAACTCTCTTAGAACGGGATATTTTTACCTTCGCCCTGCGAGCCTCAGAAGCCCTTCCCCTCCCTCCACCCCCCCGCCCCCGATCTAAAAACTCAGAAAGTCAGAGCTACCGGGAAAATGGCTTTGGAAAACTATCGTCATGCTGGACCAGGCCGGTAAAAAAAGAACGACGATGGAAGCGATCTTTGACGTGTCGTCTGTGCTGGTTCTCAGTTATATATGCCTTAGATATTCGCAAATCTTCTAGCCTGTTAGAGCATTTGAGACGTACGCTCGAGTTCAGAAGGTCGCGTGTGTACATAGTGGCAATTAGCTGAGCCGAGACGAGTCCGGAGTCGCACAGCTGCCCGGCCATTCTGCTTTGCCGGAGCCGGGCGACTGGCACGTAGTTCTGCTCTGGCGCCGCCGCGGGCGCCAGCTGGCGCGCAGCTCTGCTCTGGCGCCCCCGCGGGCGCCAGCTGGCACGTGACCAGCCTTCGAGATGGCGAACACAACGGTGCCGAGAGGGAGTTCGACACTTTAGAACACGGCTGCTTGCATTACGAGAAAACAACATTTTGCCCCTGGCGTGCTTCCTCTCACTACATTATATACGGATGTTTGCAATGCAATACCGCCGTAAAATATCACCCCTTCATCAGGAATGCGGCCTTAACCTAGCACATCACACTGAATAAAACTGCGGTCCTATAAATGACTAATACGTGCGTCTATTCCTGATTATCACGTAGGAAAAGAAAATGCAAGACAACAGAACTCACGAAATCAATCCAACCCTATAGCAGGTGACAGGACAATACCTTAAGCGATGCAGGCTTTAAATAGTGCCAAGTTCATGACATTAAGTGGTAAAGGTGTGAACTACGGACTAACAGTGCACCGCATATGTCATTCGGAGATCTTAAGTGCACTACACTACCGCAAAACTTCAATAAAGAGGAGTTCTTACTGGTGACGGCGCTCATGGGATTCAGCATTCCGAACATGTTGCTTTTTGTGGATGGGTGTTGGCCGGAAGAAAGTAGCAGCCAAGTCAGTCCAGGCGGTCAAGAGATGGCTCCACGTGCAAACGTTTTGTAGACCAGGGGTTCGGAGAGCGACAGACGATGAAAGGACAGTGACGCGAGAGCGCTTTGTAGAGAAAGAACAGATAGAAAGTTCGGGCGCGTCACTGCATCCTTCTCAACACTGCAACAGAAGAGAACTGCGTCAGCCACGCATCGAGCCCGGCCGGAGAACGGGCTCAGCTTGTTTCATCACACGTACAAAGAACGCAACTTCCACACCATCGCGTTTGGAGAACTCGTGCCAAAAATCAAGGACCTGACGCCTGACAATCTGATCAGCTCCCAAGTCACTTTATCCAATGAACTTTTTCACCACTTTTCTGCATATCATAAGTGTATAGACGCATTTATACGCACACAGACAAACACGCGCACGGTCCCACTCCGCCTCCCCTCTCCCACACCTTTTTCAGCATCAAAATAACACGCACACAGACAGTATGCAACACGCACACACACGACAATGCGCACCGATTCCTTGCATTGCTACATATCAACTGGCCAGTCAGTGTGGCCTGCATATCCGCCCAGAGAGTTTGCGAACATTTCTTATCTAATCCGGCGCACCGCTTCCCTACCGATGTTATGTCCTACATCGATCTGGGCTGGCATTAGGCCACTGAGCGACCTAAACGAAATAGTTGTGAGGCGACGGAGCTCAGTAACCACGTGGGCCACATCCCACGTAACATTCCAGGAGCGGCTACCCGAGACGCAGAAGTGGTCGGTTGCCACGATATCCGCAGGCGCACAGTGCATCAGCGTGGTGCAGTATCCAGCGCGATACACGATACATACATCCATACATACAGGGATGCGCGCACAAACATGCCACCAACTGGGTTAAGCATCTCCGTCTGGTTTATGGCAGCTTATTGCACACTTTTCTCCAATGACAAGGACACAAATTCTCAACTTTAAGATCGTCTGGCAAGCCACATTTGCTGATAAAATTTGAAAAAGAATAATAACGCCTAAGCGGATTGGCACGGACTCGTTTGATTCATTTTTCTGGTAAGGTGGACCGGGCCACATTGGTTTGAGAAATCTGGGAAAGGCGTACTGGCGGGCGGGTTGGGTCTGGACTAGCCGGACTGGACTGGATCCGATCCTGGAAATTCAATTCGTTAAGTGCTCTATTGCGTAATCAGCTATGAACTTACGAATAGATATCAATTCAAGGGCTCTTGAACGGCAAATGCTTTCTGAGCTTCTCGAAGAGTGGCAGGGCTGTTTCTGACTGGGTAGTGGTGTGGTTTCTTTTTCAGTTTGGGGGATGAGGAGGCTCCACCCCCCTAATTTTGGAATGCAAGTGGGCCATATTCGAGGAGAAACCCATGTTTGGCGTTTTTGAGGGTAGGTTTTGGCATTTTCCCTCCTTAGCATTCCCCCAACATACTTTGAGACACTGCTTTCCTGTTAGCGGGTTTGTCAAAAGAACACTTTCAGACCTCTAGATTACGCAGGCTTAAACATTGGCCCTCTCAAGATCGATGGTGAATCAAAATATGCTGCCACATGCTATATGCGTGTTAAAATGAGCAGAGAGCACACATTTCGGAGAGAATTAGATGAGACACCACTCAAAAGAGCCATTAGCGCACTGAAATGAGACTTAAGGGCGATCATACAACAGTCGACCAGAGAAGTAATGTTAAAATAAGGCCGGCTAAGAGCACAATTCATTACATTACGAAGGCTCTTGTTCGGCAATGCATTTTAGTAGCATGTAATACAATGTCCGTCTCATATCTATTTCAAGTCTTAAATACCCCTGACACCTAACGGCAATGCCAGTTTGATGTTAATTTCAGACCCCATGTTCCACTGCGGACCTGTCAAAAGCCTGTACAGCTACTCTGCAAAAGCCAGGTGTTATCAGCACGTGGGGGGGGGGGGGGGTCGACGAGTCGGCGCCGGACTTCGACCCCTCCTCGCGGCCGCACGTGACTCGCTTTGTCCATTCGCGCGGAATGCCAGGCTCAAATTTATTTGTTTCCTTGTTCTAGCAAAGGTCTGACAATTAGTTAGGTGTTTGTAATGATCATAAGTGCAGCCTTAGAGCCGATGTTGATTACTACTGCAGACAGGTGAAGATCAACGTCCACCTAGTGAGAACGTACGAACGTACACACCGGGCTGTGTCTATCAAGATCCGTTTGATGGACAGCGTCTAGCTTAAGTGCCGTCCCTGTGACATGTAAGCGCAATGTATGGGGTGTATGAAACTATAGGCGTAAAATGTATGGCGCAAAACCAGACGCATCGGAGCAGGTACAAACTTATCACACATCAGCGAACGCCGCGGCTGCTATGTTCGTTGTTCTGCCAATCCCTCGTTTCAGGTGACTGAAATATACTTGTCACGGATGCTGCTCATTCCCGCTTTTTCCGGTGACTTTTCCCCCGCTGAATTAGTCCGAACGTTTTAATGGATGGATTTGTGAAATCAGAGCCCACGCTAAGCGGAGCTTTATGCGTGAGCTCTCACCCACATTATCGGATCGTGCATTTCCAGGTCAACAGCGGGACTTGGTCGCGGAAATACAACGTACTACAATGCTCGGCACCGCCAGTCCTTCAAGCTAACATCATCTGACCTTAAGTGTGGCCGCTGCCACCTGCCGCAGGCTATTCCAGTCAAGGGCAAGTAGCGAGGGCATAAAGCGTGTCGAATCCCCCCCCCCCCCCGCGTGAGGGTAGATCGGAAGGCAGGCGCTCTAGCCGACTGAGCAATCGGGACGGATAAACGCAATATTTGGTCTGGTATCTTCTTCCATTGTTATTTTTCAGCAGTGTCGCGTTTCCGTCCAAGGCGAGAGCCCCGTGACGCCAATCTGTGGTGAATTCCAGCGGACCAGGCTTACCATTCTCGACAGGCGAAGTAGATCAGCATAGTATGGACTGGTAGATGCTCGTTTTGCCTGGCATACCGAGCAAGGGTCTGTGTGCCTCAAAGTTTGTTTATAGCGGAGACGAGCATTTAAAAATCAAAACCTCAAAGCACGCCGGATGACGGCGATCCTCGCGCGCCGCCGCGGGCGCCCTTAAGGACAAGCGCAGTGCGGGACAGTCTAGCCGCGCGCTGACAGGCGGCTGCGGTCGGCACTACCGTCGTCGCAGTTACCGTCGGGCCCCCTCGACGCGATGAGCGCGCCACCGAGTCGGGCCGGCATGTTTGGTCGATATTGAGTCGCGGCTAATGCTGATATTTAGACCTAATATCCCCCGAAAGGTCGAAAGGGGTAAGCCGATTGCAAGCCGATAGCGCGTCCATGGATCAGAGCGTGGGGCCGCCGGGTTCGGAGTGGCGCCGGCCGGGCGGCAGCGGCGGCGGGGGAGGGGCTGTCCGGCTGTGTTCCGGCTGAGCGGCGCTGACCGTATCGGGCCGCGGCAGCCGCCTCGGCTGGCGCCGGCCCAGCGCACCGCACAAGAAATCACTGGGGCCTGTGAGTGCTGGAAGCGATACAAGTGGCGTGGTGGACAGGTTAGGCGCCTCCACATGTTGGTCTTTGTAGCAAAGTGCGCTAAGTTTCTGAACAGAAATTGAAAACACGGTCGTGGTGGTGAAAAATAGAGCTTTAACAGGGGTTGACGTATTGAGAAAACATACACGCGGTGCTTGACAGGCAGCATTGGCCAGCTTTTAAACAAACTTTAAAGTATATTTTCAGTCATTTTACGGCCAGCGTGTCATGCCATGTTAGCGTTTCGTCACGTGAATTCATGACAACATGGTCTTCCTCATCAGGTCAAGCAAAATAACCTTCGATGGGCTTGGTATACTGCAAATAAATTTCCGCTCACGCAGAAATATGTTCCCCTGCTCCAAGCGAAGCAGATTTTACTGGTCCGTTCAACACCAGACGTTTGGCATTTCCAAGGTGCTGGCGGAATGCCAAGCTCCAAACTGGTGATCAAAGCCATTTAGCCATACGGAATTCCAGGAGATCCAGGATTATATAAACCCAGCTCTGGTAAGTGCAAGCAACATGACGGAAAGGCGCGGGTACATCAACTCTGTCACAACAAAAGCCTTTCCTGCGCGCGGGCGTGAGCACCAGCGTGGTAGGGCTCATGCCTTCCAGACATTGTGGGCTGCTCCCTTTGCCATCCCTCTGCGGCCTTTTGTCTAGAGAGGGTTCCACACTGTTTTTAAACATACATTGCGGTGATTTACGACACACAAGAAAGCTGGTCTTGGTTTTGGTGGATGTAATTAACTGTCACCATTAGTCAAGGGACCGTCCAAGAGCGTTATCACACGGGTGATAGCACGACTAACGTTGCAGACTGGATGCCATCCAGCTCGCCTGACAGAGGCGTCTGGGCAGCCTTGTTGCCAACAGCCAGCCTTGTAGATCGCTCCGCGGCTCCGGCTGTGTAACAAGAGCTGCACTGATAAGCTGACGCTCGCCAGCAACAGCCGCCAACGGACAACGAACGTGCCGCGGTACCAGCCACCGACGGACGACGAATGTGGCGCGCTACCAGCCACCGACGGACGACGAATGTGGCGCGCTACCAGCCACCAACGGACGACGAATGTGGCGCGACACCAGCCACCAACGGACGACGAACGTGGCACGCCACCAGCCACCAACGGACGACGAATGTGGCGCGCCACCAGCCACCAACGGACGACGAATGTGGCGCGCTACCAGCCACCAACGGACGACGAATGTGGCGCGCTACCAGCCACCAACGGGCAACGAATGTGGCGCGCTACCAGCCACCGACGGACGACGGACGTGGCACGCTACCAGCCACCAACGGACGACGAACGTGGCGCGCTACCAGTCACCAACGGACGACGAATGTGGCGCGCTACCAGCCACCAACGGACGACGAATGTGGCGCGCTACCAGCCACCAACGGGCAACGGACGTGGCGCGCTACCAGCCACCGACGGATGACAAATGTACCGCGCTACCAGCCACCGACGGACGACGAACGTGGCGCGCTACCAGCCACCAACGGACGACGAACGTGGCACGCTACCAGCCACCAACGGACGACGAACGTGGCACGCTACCAGCCACCAACGGACGACGAACGTGGCACGCTACCAGCCACCAACGGGCAACGAACGTGGCACGCTCCCGGCGCGGCGCACACACG